ATATATATATAGAAAATGTGTGTGTCGCGGGACACTACCAAAATAGGCCTTTTTGCAAAAAAATATTACACTAATAAAGCTACTGATGTTTACTACTTAGTATATCAAGCACTAAATATCAATAGATGGCAGTGTATTGCCCTTAATTTCTTGTTCGTTAAATGGGTCTAAAGTTCCAACCAATGTACATTTTCTTTTTGTAATAATTAAAGAAACAATTATACCAACATTTTCGAAACTGTCTACGGTGTGCTGATAAGAGCAGCCGCGCGGAGAGTTGAGAGTCCGCTAGAGTCCCGGCAGCTTGTGCTGTGCTCAGTTGTTCTTTTCATACCTCTGCTCTCCACGTGGCTGTGTGAAAACGAAATGTGTGCTAGGACACATTGTAGAAGTGAAACAGCAACGGAGAAGTGAAAAAACGAATGACAACGGACAAGTGGAGAAACGAATCGCAAAAACTTTTTTACTTCAAGTTCTACAGGCAGATTGTTAATCTACTTGTCCATTTTGAAAACCTACCCATCAAACTTCAAGTTAACATTTTGTCTGGTATTTCGATTTTTTTTAAGTAAGTGGATCGGCTTATTATATCACACAAGGTGACATCCCCAATTGGAGTTAGAGGACGACGTCTGGTGTATCGAAATAGGTATTAGGTTCATGATGCATTTGTTTTTGGGTTGTGTTGCCGTGTCCTTTGCTCGCCACGCTTATTAGCAGTTGGCTGAATGATATTATAAGATCTGGAGACCCAAACCTAGAAGTTGCCAGTTTCCACATAAAGTAAAGATAACGCAGTCATTTTCAACAATAAGAAACAATTTCTGTGTTCTCGCACGGCTAATCTATTTGAAAAGTTTAAAGTGCATGTTTGTACCAGTGCGAAACGTGGACGCTCGTTTCAATGTAATAGAAGAAGTTAGAAACCTTTGGCGTGTGATGTTATAGGAGTATAATGAAAATATCGTTGGTAGCAAAAGTTAAAAATGGGAAATCATTGTAAAGATTAGAGGAACAAAAGGCGCTATGAATATCAATAATGAAAAACAGAAATAGGACAAAAGAACACCTTCTGAGACGTGAAGGATTACTTACAGACATACTATAAATAGGTGCAGGAGTTAATAGAGGGAAAAGAAGACCCGCATTACATTACTGTTCAATAGAAAATAGTGAGGGAGATGAGAGATTTGACCCATAATTACTCTACTATGGGATGTTCTAGTTTTCGGGATGCGTGAAGTTTGGCTCAGGAAAGGAAAAATAGGAGGTGCCTGTCCAATTCGTCTTCAGAGTGAGTATCCTACGATGATGATGATGATGAAAGAAATACTTGCTTTCCGTAAAGCAAATGTATGTATGTATGTCCTGGGGTTTTAGGAAAATTTTTCGCACGATTGTTGGCGACACTGCTGTGCTTGTTAAATAAATATACCTATCGCGTGATAAGAAGCGGCAGCGGTAGAGGGAGAGAAAGGCTGGTAGCTGCGGAGAGAGGGTAAGGATATAATACGCAGCCGCGCGAAGAGCGGGGAGTCCGCTAGATTCCCGCCGGTGTGTGCTGTGCTCAGCTGTTGTTTTCTTACCTCTGCTCTCCACGTGGCTGGGCATCATTGCCTCTATTTGCGGTCTGTGTAAAAGCCAAATCATAATTTGCAGTAAACCTGTGAAAACGAAATGTGTGCTGGAAAACATAGTAGAAACGTAATCTTCAGAGTGAGTATTCTACGATGATGATGCTGCTTTTCGTCAAGTAAAACCTTCTAAATCATCACAGTATTTAACTTTGTTGGAGATATTGTGAAATTAACGAAACACATTTTCATAAAAAAATTAAATTTGAAGTTACCTCCAGGCCTTTAATTTCACGAGCGGTCATTGGTACAAATATGAACATTTGCCTCTCTGACCCGACCTTGCTCAGGTATCTAACTTTTATACATAGCATAGAGAGTATGTACTATTCCTGATTCTGATTAATACTGTATTTTCGAGCTGAGTCCGCTGGTAAACTTTAATGAACAGTAAATTTCGCCCTGACCCACGTAATTGCTAGATCCGATGAAAACCAATTAACCGAATTTGCGTTTAAATTTAGGTTTTAATATGTAAACAATCGCTGCCGCATTATATACCTTTGTTTAAAGCTTTTGTGTGATTGTTTTTATTCTCGGTTCGAGCTCCTTCCACGAGTAATACAATAGAAGCATTAAATTAAAACTCATTGTCAGTAAAACGTAACTGAAAAATGCACACAACTATGCTATTATTCTTAGATGCTGTTTTGTTTGGAAGAAACGCGAAGTAACATTTGAGCAATAAAATTTTTTAGTATGGTAATAGAGAATATCACCGGGTATGTATAATTAGTTGAAATTTTGGCACAATATAGCCTAATACGAAGACATCCTTTTTGTTTCACTCAAATAGCTGTAGTAGTTCTGAATTTACCTAAATTAATATCTGGGTCAATTCGTCAAACTTTCAGAGTTGTTCAGATATATTTTACTTATAATTTGTACATTTTCATTTACTAAAAACTTAACGTTAGCATGCGGTAAACTAATAAAGTTGTACGCTGCTAGTAACGCAAATTGATTGGCTTCATCAGTTTTTGGCTATATCATCATATAAATAAATTTAGTTTCAGTAAGATATTAAGTCCCTTCAATTAATTCCAACTGAGCCTCTAACAAAGGAGTAGCTTTCATCCCCAGAATAATTATGAACTCCAAAGTGCTCTCACAAGGGATTTTGATTTGGGCATCCTTCCAAACAATAATTAATACTCTCTGCTTCACTTTTCATAATTTCGTAAAAGAAAACAAATCCTATAAATCTAAAAATAAAGCACAATGAGATTATCCGCAATGACCTTTTAACGTAAAGGAAAACGTTAAAAATATGTAAATTCATTAAATTTTCTTCGATTCTCTCACTAGAACTGGTTCTACTCTTGGTTAATAACGAACTCAAGAAGCTACCGTTGTAACAATGTAGAATTTCTGGAGAATATATGTTTCCCAAAGTACAGTGGATTTATTAATTACTTCAAGATATACACTGGGGCGCCAAAGAACGAGGTCGTAGTCACTTACGCAGGCTCTTCTCCAATTACTTGAAAAAGTTGGACATATAAATATAAGAAGTTAAGCACTGCCGGGCTTATACTTTTCTTAAGTGTCTCTGCACTTTCTGCCTCCACTCTTTTATTTCTAGCTATCTCAACCACTAATTCGTATCTATTATGCCTAGACCTAGAACTTTCTTACTGTCGTAAATTTTCATGTAATACCTTACTTTCCATTTCATCACCTCTCTCTACATCTTAGCTATCTGTCCTTTTTCTTTCTTTTATTTCTGACAAACTATAGTTTCTGTATTTTCGATCACAACTCGCCTTTCCTTTTTTTGCCTGTTACTAATGCTTCTGTGCTCTTACTATATGTCACCACCTTTTCACTCTTAAGAAGCGTTCCATTAGCACCAAAGACGAGAGTACGAAAGTTACCGTTATTCACCGTTTCATTCATCGTTCTATGTTCTATTCACCGTTTAGTTCCACCTATTGTACGCCGATTGAACGCATTGTATATATTGTATATAGCTCAGTAAACACTACAGTATTATTTCAATCAACAACAAAGACCTACAACCCTTTAATTAGGATTGCTACCATTTCAGTTCACCGAATCGTATGGAACAGTTTTTGGTCCTTCGAGCCGGATAGTGAACATTTAGTTACTAATACAGTGTGTATGAGCCGCATCTTAATAAATTAGTGACACATAACACTGTAAACAGTTCACTTAATTAGTGCACGTGGAAGTGCTCGTAACATCAGTTTTGGATTATTATTACATCATTTACATAATCCTTGAGAAAATGCGATCAACACGCCGCTGATCCAATTCACCGAATCTTATGAAGCACTTTGATAAAAGGAATTGTTGAAATAATCTACTCCATCGTCATAGTTTATGATATTCATTACCTCTGTCTCGATCAATAAAAAAGCCAAAGGGTAAAGTATTTCTCTAAATAACGAAGGCTTAGGTTCTCAAAAATGCAGAGAGATAATAATCATAACGATGTGGTTTTGGACTCCCTTGCAGTATTGTTAAAGAAAACGTGGTAATGGAAATGATCCAAACCTACTTCTAAATCATCACTAATTTACCGATATACCGGTTTATGACTAAAAAAGCACAAAAGTAAGTCAGCCAACTGGAAGCCATCATATCAACAAAGCACTTAACAAAACCCCTGCCAATTGACATCCCCATGTAGAAGACGAGGATAGGGAAGTTATAACAAATTTTAAACGTTGGCGTCCGATTGTGC